TTGAAGAGGATTTTTTTTTTTTTAATTCTGGATACAAATCCTTAATCATATATGTGATTTGCAAATATTTTCATCCAGACTATGACTTGTCATTCTATTCTCTTAACATTGTCTTTCACAGACCAAAAGTTTTTTAATTTTAATGAAGTTAAATTTATCAATTTTTTTATGGATCATGTGTTTGGTGTCATTTCTTAAAAGTAATTTACAAATATAAATTAAATAGATTTTCTGCTATGTTTTAGGTCTATGATCTATTTTTGAATGTGCATTTTTAAAAATCCAGAACTATGCACTGAAAAGACAACAAATGCAAAGTCTCTGTTTAATTGACTTTGTACTTTTGTCAAAACTCAGTTGACAGCTTTGATTGCGTCTATCTCTGAGGTATCTATTCTATTCCTTTGACATATGTATCTATGGTTTAGTCAACAACACACTGTCTTCATTGTTGTGCTTTATAGTAAGTCTTAAAATTAGTTGCTGGGTCCTCCAACTTTGTTCTTTTTCAGAATTGTTTTTGGGTTTTCAATTTCCTTTGCCCTTGCCATATACTTTTATAATCAGCTTGTCAATTTCTATTAAAAAGTTTGATACGGTTTTAATTATGATTGCACTGAATCTAGACATCAAATTGGGGAAAACTGACATTTTCATATTGAGTCCTCCAATCTGTGAACATGATGTAGTTCTTCATTTAGTTCTATCTTCTTTGATTGCTTTCAACAGCATTTTGTAGTTCTCAAAATGCAAATGCTGCACATATTTTATTAGGATTATACCTAAGAACTTCAATTTCTGGTGCTATTGTAAATGGTATGGATTTCCTAATTTAAAATTCCAACTATTCATTTCAGATATATAGGAAAAAAATGACTTCATATTTTATGACCTTGCTAACCTCATTTATTAGTTCTGGGAGCTTTTCTGGAGATCCTGTGGAATTTTCTGCAAAATAATATCCTCTGCAAATATAAGTGTTTTTTTTTCTTATTTTCCAACCTGTATCCCTCTTATTTCTTTTTCTTATCTTCCTGCATTGTCTAAGACTCCCAATATGATGCTAAAGAAATGTTAAGAGAGGGCATCCTTGTTTCTGAATTTAGGGGAAAATATTCAGTCTTTCACCATTAACTACAAAGTGTTAGCTGTAGGTTTTAAAGATGTTCTTCATTAGGTTGATAAAGTTCCCTTCTGACCTCAATTTTACTAAGAATGTTTATCAAGAATAGAGTTGGATTTTGTTAGATACTTGTTCTGTGCTTATTGAAATGACATACAGAAGAAATATGCTTTTTATTTAACCTGTCAATAAGATGAATTTATATTGCATTTCTAGAATGAGACCACTTGATTATGATATACTTTCATTTTTATATAGTGCTGAATTTGATTTGCTAGTATGTTGTTGAGGATTTCTGCATATATGTTCATGAGGGTTTTGGGTCTATATTTTTCTTTTCTTATAATGTCATTGTCTGGCTTTGACATTAGGGAAAATACTGATTTCATAAAATGAACTTAGGAAGTTTTTCTTCTTTCTGTCTGGTAAAACTGCCATTAGGTTTTTCTTAAAGGTTTGGTAGAATTAACCAGAGAAATCATCTGGGCCTGGTGTTTTCTTTTATGTAAGATTCTTAACTTCAAATTCAATTTCTTTAATAGATATACAGCTATTGAGATTATCAACTTCTTCTTGAGTTAGTTTTGGTACTTTATGTCTTTCAAAAAATTCTTGAAAGTTATGTCTTTCATAAAGTTTCAAATAGTTTTAACATCAATGTAAACACATAAGACAGGATTAGCAGACTAGAGGACATTTCCAATGAAAATATCCAAATTAGAGAGAGAGGAAAAAAAAAGAATTAAAAATATCAAAATAAGCACAAGATACATGAGTCTAAAAATCTAAAAAATCTTATACAAGTCTAAAAATCTAATATAAGTATAATTGGGAAATCCAGAAAAACAGATCATGGGGCATAAGTACTGTTTAAAGAAAGAATGGCTATAGGTTTTCCAAAACTAATGAAAAATATCAACCTACAAATTTAGGAAGCCCTGAGAATTTAACATAGAATCAATCCAAGAATACCACATCTAGGTATATAAGAGTAAATTATTAAACACAAAGTTGAGGAGTAAATCTTAAATGCAACAAAGCGGGGAAAAATTCCCACATTACTTCAAAGGTGTAATAGCTTACTCTTCAAGACACATAAAAAAGCCAGAAGACAATGTAATACCTTCTTTAAAATACCAAAGAAAATAACTTTACCAACCGAGAGTTTTATATCCAATAAAACCATCCCACATAAAACTAAAACCAAGATTTTTCAAACAAAATCAGAATTCACAGCCAGGAGAATGTTATAAAAGAAGTATTAAAGGCAGAAGGAAAATGACTCTAGAATCCATATGGGAACATGGAATTACAAGAAAGAAGGAAGAATAATAGAAAGGATAATGAATAAAATGAAAGAACACGAATAAACATTACTATATAAACAAAATTAATTTCTTGTGTGTTTTATATATGTAGAATTAAAATGCATGACAAAAATGTGCAAAAAAGGGGGCAGGTTAAAAAGGGTTAAATGTTTTAGGGCCCCATTATTGTTAGAGAGGTCAACGAAAAAATAATTTGTCATGTATGCATTTTGAAATCTGTAGAGCAACCAATAAAGAAAAGTTAAAAATGAATAACAATTTAATAAAAATGAAAGTAAGTTATAAAAAATACTTACCAATCCAAACCAAAGCCACATCAATCTACATAAAAGTTCTAGATTTTAATTCTTCAAAAAAACCCTTGTGCTACTCACAAGATATGCACTTTAAATATGATAAAAAGAAAAAAAATGGAAAAATACCTACCATGCATACACTAGACAAAAGAAAGCCATTGTAACTACAAATATCAGATAAAATGTACTGCGAAGCAAGGAATATTACTAGAGATGAAGAACCTTCACAATAAAAGGTTCTGTATCCCACCAATGACATAGCTTCAAAATATATAAAATTAACAAAACAAGAAAGAAATCTTGAGGCTTAAACCTTTCTTGGGACTTGATATCTATCTATCATGATACAGAAAAAATAATTTTAATCAGATCATATATTTAAATGGGAAATAAAACAGAAAGCCTTTAGAGGAAAACATAGGAGAAAGTCTTGAAGTACATAAAATTTCTAAAAATGTTAATCAACAACAAAAAACCATAATAAATTGAATTCCTTAGGATTAAGAATTTCTTTTCATCAGAGATGTCATTAAGAGAATAAAAAGGCAAGGCACAGAGTGGGAAAAGACAATTACAAAACATATACCTAAAAATTCATATCAAGGACCTATATGGCTCTCTCAACAAAAAACCAAAAGGAGATAATTCAGTACAAAAATTGGCAAATGACTTGAACAAGTGCTCACAAAGGAGAATACCCAATGGCCAATAAGTATACTCATTAGTCATCAAGAAATAGCAAATTGAAACCATCATATGATAAACTACGTCTTACCAAAAGGCCAAAATGAAAACACACACAGGTGCACGCACTCATGCACACACACACACACACGCCAATTAAGTACCAGTAAGGATGTGGAGCAAGTATAACTCTCATACACAGGTAGTTAAAATCACTTGAAAAATTCTTTGCCCGCACCTTCTAAAGCTGAATGTACACATACCCTATGACTGGGCAATTCCAAATAGGAAGAATACATACATACCCAAAGAAGAATACATACATATCCTAGTAAGAATACAATGATACCCAAAGTATGCATAAAATGCTTACAGCAGCTCTATAATAGCCCAAACCAGAAACAACCCAAATGTCCATCAACAGAGGAATGAATAAGTGAACAGTAGTATTTTCATATAATAAAATACCATACAGCAGCAAAAGTGAAGATATTACTAAATATAAGATGTCTGCAGTACAAAGAAGTCTGAATTGCAAAGTCAAAGTGAAACAAGTCAGAGAAAAAAGTAGATACTGTAGGATTTCATTTATATAAAGATTAAAACACACAGTACTAATCTTGCTATTAGAAGTTAGGTTAACTTTTACCCCTGGAGTGGCAGTAGCTGAGAGGAAAGAAGAGAAGCTTCTGCAGAGCTGATAATAGCTTATTTCTTGATTTGGTAAATAGTTTACAAAGGAGCGTGCTGATTTATTATAATTCATAAACTGGTTACTTATGATTCGTGCATTTTCTATATATATATATATACACTGTGCTTTGAAAACAAGCTTAATTTAAAAACAGTATGCATACAGAAACTTAAAACTGTACAAACTGATGGAATGTCACATGATCCAGTTATAACGTCAGGACCAAGCCTAGTACCCAACATCATGCTCATGATAAATGACTGTTTTTCAAACTACTGAATGAAACAAACAAAAACAAATCAAACACAAAAAGAATACACTGTAATTATTCCCCAGCTGTCCTTCATATATGTTTATTTGCCTTACCTCAGAAAATATTCTCATATTGATATTCTCTAATATTAAACCCAGTAAACCTGACCTGCTCTTTTCCTCTTTTAAATATTTAATTAATATAAAAATCAGTTGGGAAACTGCTTCAAAACAATTATTTCTCACCCCACTCCCCTCATTCTACCATTTAGAATAAAATATTTGTGGGAAATGGAATTGTTTTCTACTGGGCCACAAAATAAGAGTCTCCACACTTTGAAGGCTATAAAATAATCATCATAAAGTCTCTACTTACTGACTCTGAGGTAATTATTAGTAACATTGTTTGGAGTTCAGATGATGTCAAACATTTTACATAATGACTCAGGTCAAGCAGGAAGTTAGAGAAGTTGCCTTTAGCAAAACCACTGACTTCCATTGAATGGAGGTTGTATCTTTCTTTCTTCTCTTTCCAGTGATTTAATATTATAAGCTTTAAGCATCTTCACTGGTTTTCTTGCCCAATTAGAAAAGGCCTTCAAAAGAAAATTTTAGAAACTAACATATAAATGTCTTTGATGAGCCTGATGTGATTTCAAGACATTTTTTACCCGGTCATGGATCTCATCGCAGTTTGAAGGTGAACACCAATCAGAATGGAATCTGTGGGCATAAAAAACAAAGGTGACTTGTAGTCAGAGGGAGAGAAAAATAAATCTTTCCAAATGCCAGATATAGAAAGTCATTTTTTTCCTTATCCCTGTGTGATAACACAGAAAGATTAAAATAGTATATTTTCTTCATTGACCAAGGATGAGAGGCAGATGTAAAATCAGGCACTGATTCTCTGCAGAAGTATTAAGTCTTTATAATATGTGCAATAAGTAGTCTTAATAAAGTTTGGCATGAATTAGGGAGAGCATACCTATATATCTGATCATTTTAATGATTTCCTTACATAAGCCTTTAGAGCTTTATCTCTAAAAAAAAGATACAGATGTTCAAATTAGAACAATAATTCCATGTATAGTACCTTTAAAATTAGTTCTTATTTTCCAGTAATTTAATCCCACTCTCTTAAATTATGTGGGAGAAATTCCTTTCTGTATACAGAAAAATAAAACTAATTTTATGAAATGAAGTAAAATGTTTAAATAGATGAAAATATTATTTAGAATCCTATCATGTTCTTACTCCCTCAAAATACAGAGGAACATAAAAATTGAATGATCCCCTCTCTGCACAGATACCACTCCTCTAGTCTCTCCCGTAAGTGTGTGTGTGTTTTTTTAAGTGAATATTGAAAAACAGGAAAGGAAAATGTGCCTTTTATTAAAATCTGAGTTGTGGAATTACAGAAGAAACAGAGCAACCATTCTTTCTTATGCCCTTCCCAAACTCGAAACTGGCATTAGTTTAACTAAACTACTTTATCTACCTTATACAAGTAATAATGAAAACCTCCAGGTCCATCTGATTATAATTCATCTATATCAAGTGTTACTGATAATTCCTTCATAAAGGAATGGGTACTAAAATGCTAACTGCTTACATCTTTGCCTTTTTTTTCTCCCAGCTTGTTCTTGCAAAGTTATAATTTTATGTTTATACAAGGTATAAACTATTAAGCAGGAAAAATGATTTACATAATCTGTTTCGAAGAATGCAATCAAAAATGGATGATCAACTATATCTAAATTTCAATATCCTACGTTTGTAAAAGGAAGGTGTTACTGCATCTACACAAGTATATTGTCGGACCTTGTTATTTGCTACATATGTAACCCATCTTGAAAACCTGAGATCCAAATATTTAGTTCCAAGAGGATCTCTTCAGTGTACTATGAGAGGATCCACTAGTCTGTGCTGTGGTATAAGAAATGATTGCCTAACAATCTTTAACTTCATTTACAAAATTCAAAACCGTTAAGCATGATTAAAAGGAATATCAGCTCCTTTTTAACTAGATTTGCAAGTATTTCTTAGTCTGATTTTAGTAATAACTCTACAGCCTAATACAAATTATAGTCATAACATTAATATTTATACTTGGAGGAGAAAACTGCTTCTGAAATGTAACATTTCTAATAAAAACTGCAACCATTTTATGTGTGTTAACTCTATTGGAAATATTTTTTTTTAAATGGGCTTAAAGCAAAAAGCACCTTCACTATAAATAAAGAAATTCATTTGCTTACAGCCACTAATAGAGTTTTTGAAAGTCTGTTTATTCACATACATGATTAAGGAGTCAACATTTTACAGTAATCTTAGAGGAAAACTTACTTCATCTTAATGAATAACTACCCAGATAACCTCCTATAGCTGTATATTTTGTCATACTCCCAATTTTGCTGGGGACATACAATCTACATTTATATCAGTTTAAATTGTTTACTGATTCCACCGGATTTTATAAACACTCTGTAAGTATACTGCTCAGTAACCTAAAAAGCCATATCAGAGAACGTCTTATATATAAGAACATCTTATATTCGGTACTGAGTATACTGAAAAGGATGAAATGTTTTTGTTCCTAGTAATATGTCCTATAGACATTTTATTTTCTTTTATAACTATGTCTAAATCTTTTTTAGAACATACACTCAAAGTAGAGGTGTTCTACCTTAGTGAAAGTAAAAAAGTTTATCCTAAGGAGTACCCCAATAAAAGTTTATTAATTTATTTAGATTTTATTTTATTTATTTTAAAATAATTTATTTTAAAAGCACCTCAACCTTCCTCAAGTGATAGGTGAAATGGGTCATGTTTAATATTAGAGCTCCTCATTTCCTTCGAGAAAAGAACTTAACTACATCTACTACCAAGCATCAGAATAAATGTATAAGTGCTGCTCACTATTAGAGGCCATCACCTGAACTGGAATATGAAAAAGGGATAGTTGACTTTAGCTAACCCCAGTGAAGAATTTTTGAGTACAGCCTCAATGAAGAATTTGTCAACTTGGGAAGACAGGCTTCAAAAGCTGGGACAAAATTACAGACAAGGATAAAATAACATGGGACTAAAATTCATATTGTCCTACAGTGGTAGAGACAACTGGAGAGCTGTGCAAAAGTTGTGAAAAGGCAGAAAAATAAAACAATGTTCATAAAAACATATCCAAGGAGATATAGATAAAAAATTTCCTGAAAACCTACAGAGATGGCAAAGAACCTAATGAATAAAACCGCAAGTGCTTAATTCTAAAAGTAAAGGAAAAAGAGAGTAGCACTGACTACACGTCTGAACATCTGAGCAGACACGGAAATTGAAGAAAGTCCCCTGACAACTGAGACAGAAGTTAGCAGACTTCAGCAGGAAAATCTCTCCTCAAAAGTTTCTCTTGAACTTTAAAGCCTATAGAAACAGAGATACGCATCTCTCTCGTAAAATATAGAGATAGATCTTTTAACCTATCTGTCCATCTCTATCTATGAACTCCATGATCCCTCAGGCAGGATTCTAATGGCCTAGAAGCAACATTAAATAAAATTCCCCATCTGAGGATTAGGGTCTCCAGCAGACCTCCATAGATCCATTTGAATGCTTAGGGGGCTAATGAGGAAAGAGACAAAACTATCTGTTCAGAATAGAGATGTTTTAATACAGCTTCCAAACTGATACACTCTTGCTCAAATCATCAATTTTGAGATGAACTTTTTGATAGACGACACAGTTAGTTTAAATTTTGTCAATTATGTCTGACAGTTGTAATAAGCTGTACAAATTTAGTGTGTTACATTAGCTTTTGATGCCATCTGTAAAGACAGATTTTATTTCCATTTTTTGATGGCATTTCTCTTAGGTGTTCAAATTTCCATAAAAATTTTAAACTACCTAGGGTGGGCTTTTTTTTTTTAATTTATGACAACTCTGTTTTCTATGTTACTATTAGTGAGTGAGGCAAGGAATTTCCAATTTGAATTTAACAACAACAAAAACAGATAAAGAGGAATTATTTCTTTCACATTCAAATTATAACAAGTGTCTAACTTTGGTTGTTAAACCTTTTTTAGAGGGAGGCTGGAATCTTTACATGGTTAAGATTCTCCCGGGGAGGGCGCCTGGGTGGCTCAGATGGTTAAGATTCTCCCGGGGAGTTGGGGGGGGGTGTATTTGAGGAAATCAGGTACCATATAGCAACAATATATGGCATCATCATTACCACTAAAAGGAATGTATAATCTATGCTATTTTTATACATTAGCCATGTCCATAATGTTAAGTCCCTATGAATCTCTTGAAAACAAACCAACATGCACTATTTTTCACTTTTATGAATTACAGTATTTAATTAGGGTTAAAGTGACTCTAATTAATAAACTCACCAATAGTTAATAAACTCACTATAAGAGGACTGGGTTGGGGAGGAGTATGTAGTACTATATAATATGTAATGTATTCTAAACAAAAAGTAAGCCTTTTAAAATCAAATTATACTTGTATGAATAATCATTTCACATACATAATTGCTGCCTTGTCTTTTCTAATAATGATTATTCAAAAAATCAGTATAGAAAGAGAGACTAAGCATTACCTTTCCTTGAGAGAAGCTCGATTTAACACAGGGCTTGGAGAATGCTTCGGCATTGTTGAGGGTGCTGAATGGACGAGTAAGGTCCTTGCTGAATGCTGTGGCTTGCTACATGACCGTGAGCTTAAATACTCATCACACCTTTCCAAAGAGTCATCAAAGTCTCTCCCATGGGGTGTCCTGGTAACCTGTTTAAAAAAATATTTGTATACACATAATAAATGTGGTAATATTATACATACAACCTTAAGAACCTTTGTAAGAGTTTAAAAAAAGTATAATGCCACAGCTATATTTGAAGGTAAATTTCAGAATGTAGCAGTCATCATTTTCACTGTAACATTAAATATTAAATACATCTGGATTGTTCATTCCACATGTCTAAAATTTATAAAACTTTATCAATTCCAAGGGCTTTTGAGTAGTGGTGGGGTAAAGGCAGGGGTGTACATATATAACAAAGGACAATACACAGAAACTAATTATAGCCCAGTTTAGCTATGAGGCCAAACAGAACAGAATTCTATCCTAATACTCATTCATTGATTCATTTGTTCTGAGGACAAATGAATAAATCAGGATAGAAAAATTAATAAATTCCTACCCTTTTTATGTGGAACTTCAATTCTAGTAAAATTTACATTCTACTAATGAGCAGCTTTCATCCCAGAACCAAACAGCACGTGATTCAAATGGCTCAGTTACAGTCCCAAATAACTGACTAAGAAATATGTGATCTAGATGTCTAAGGATGGTAAATACCAGGAGAAGAAAATAAAGCAGGAAAGGAGATAAGAAGTGCTGATGGGTGGTGTGGGAGGGGTATGGAAGGAAAAAGCTGCAATTTTAAATAGGATAATCAATGGGGACCTCACAGAGAAAGAGAATGTCTTAGTAAAGACCTAAGGAGTAAAGGCCTGAAGACCTTAGTAAAGACCACAAGACCTAAGTCATGGGGACATCTGTAGGAAGATCATTCCAGAAAGAGAGAAAAATAAACGTAAATAAACGCACCTGTGGGGGTGTGGTGGAGAGCATAGCCTGGTATATTAGAAATAGCAAAGAAGCCAACAAGGCTGAACTAAATAGTAGGCGATGAAGTTAAAAAGGTAGATTTTAAGGATTTAGGTTTCTATGCTGTGACTATTTTTTTTTAAAAATGAGATCTCCCTGGCTACTATGTTAAGAACAGTCTATAAGAGGGGCCAAGGGCAGAGCAGGGAAATCAGCTAGGAAATGATTACAATAAAATATGGAAAAGGATGCTGGATTGGATTAGAGTGATAATCAATGGAGGTGAAAAGAGATCAGACTCAAAAGGCATTTGAAAGATAGAGCCAACAGGATTTGCTGATGGACTGGATGTCAAAGATAACACCAGTCTTTTGGCCTAATCAACCTGAAGAGTTGAGTTTGTATGATTTACTTATACCCTTCCAACTGGAAGGATGGAAGAGTAAATGTTAGGAGTCTGTTTTTGGACACATTGAACTTCACATATCAATTTATTAGTCACCCAACATATTAGAGTAGAATTTAGGAGAAGAGTCCAGGATAAAGATACAAATGGTATTTAAAGACAGGGCACTGGATGATATCATCAAGGAAAAGAGCATAAATAGAAGAAAACATCTGAAGACAGAGCCCTGGGAATACACTGAGAGGCTGAGAAGATGAGAAGGAAACATGAGACTAAGGAGTGACCAGGAAAGAAGGGGAAGAAACAGAAGAATGTGTTGTCAATTGAAAAAAGCATTTCAAGTAAGGGGAGTAACTAAGTTAAATATTGCTAATAAATCAAACTAGAAAAGATTGCGAATGGACCTTTGTATTTTAGCAATTGGAAGGTCATCGGTAACAACAAGAGTAGCACTGATGGAGTGATGGGAGTGATAATCTGGAGTTGAGTTCAAGAAAGAATCAGAGAGGGGAATATATCCTAATGACAATAATGCAGAAGGATATTCAACGATTTTGGTCTGAATGGTTGAAGTCTCATGGAGGAGGTGGGACTGGAATCAAGGCCATAAGTAAAGAGAGAAACGGCATTAAGAGTGGGGGGAAAGGAGAAAGGAAAGATGCACACTGAGTATGATAACTTGGCTATCTCTATAGGAAAGCAATAGGAGAGAATATCTTAGAGGTGGAAAGGGGCACATTATAGAGAACTTTAAATGCTGTATACTATTCAACATTTATTAAAGCATATTTTATGTATAAAGTACTGAACAAGGTAGGAGACAGCAATCACAGATAAGACCTCAAAGAAGTCACAATCCATGATGGCAGACATGAAAAAACAAGTACTGATAAAATAAAGAGGAAGGAAATTAGAATTAAATAGATATATAATAAGTGTGCAATGGGATCACAGCTAGGATGTAGTCTTTCCATGGAATTAGAGTAAATATTTGTTTTGTAATGTTTTATATCTACATGGAGGACTGAAAGATATAATGAGGGGGTGAGTCTTTGATAAGAATCCATTTCAAACTTTCAGTCTTAAGCCGTAGCTTAAGAAACATTTCCATAGCTCTTATGAGTTTTTCATAGGTTACTTACTCACTTCAGAAATCAAATGGAATATTAATGTCTTTGGCTCATTACTGAAGAGTTCCTTGCTTGGATGATTCCTCAAGAACACTGGCTTACAATCCAAAGACCTGGGTTCAAATCCCTGCCTGACCAGGTCATCTCCTCTCCAAGCTTTAGTTTCCTTATCTATAAACCGGGCAAATAATCTTCCAGGTTTGCCACAAAAATGTGGTAAAATTAGTGAAAACACAAAGCAGAGGGCATAGCTTATGAGAGAGAATAATATTTATGTCCTCTGTTTACAGCAATCTTCATATTTCAGCATAAAGGGTATTTTTTTTACATTTATGGAAATAGTTCTTTAAATGCCCTAAGACCTCAAATATGTAACAATTCCAAGATTGCAAATGTTAAAATGTATCAAGATAAAAAATTTAGTATTTTTAAACCAATCTAAAACTGTTATAAGTAGAAAAGTTTCATACATAAGATTAATTGTAATTTCATAAATGTAATTATGCAAATGACATACTTTTCAAATTTGTGATATATAATGGTTTGGTTATACTATACTCATGAAATAAGAGTCCTGAAAAGTTGTTTACATGATAATCTGATAAATTAAATCACATTAATGGCCATAACATTTTATATTTATAGGAACTTCAAGATCCAATTAATGGAAGGAAGAATTAACTACTAAGTATAATGGGAAACAGGAAATTCACTTGTCCGACAAGTAGCTTACTTAGTGCCTGATACTCGACACCATGCTCTAAAACTTCTCCTTTGTTGTGGGGCATAAAATTTAAGAAATAAATACAAATAATTCTAATGGCTAAAATTAGCTGGGAAATAGTTGAGAATAAGGAGTGCAGGAAAAAAGTGCAGTATAGGTACTGCTTTGAGGATGATAAGAAAGTAAAGTTCTCATTCAAAAGAGAGAGAAGCAGGGACACCTGGTGGCACAGTCAGTTAAGCTCCAACTTTTGGTTTCAGGTCGTGATCTCACGGTCATGAGATCAAGCCCCATATCGGGCTCCATGCTCAGTGGGGAGCCTGCTTGGGATTCTCTCTCTCCCTCTGCTCCCCGCCCCGCTTGTGCTCCTCTCAAATAAATAAGTCTTAAAAAAAAGAGAGAGAGAGAAGCAGATATTGGTAACTAAGAGGAGTTTCTCAGTTTTGCCAGGAATATTCCTTAGTGAATCCTATTTCAAATGAGTCATCAGTTCCTATCTTATCTAGTTTAAAAATCCATACACTCAACTACCTGGTTTGGTTTTAGAAAGATGTACTTTCTTTACACTGGAGAATTGGAAAGAAATTCCAAAATAATACAATGAAAGTGATAAGTAATTCCTTAAATAGATCAATCCTTGTGTGTATGTATATGTGGGGAGTGTCCCTTCTTAGACCACTGTTCTATGCATTTATATAAATAACTTGTTTCATTCCCACAACAATCTCATGGGGTAGATATTTTTATTCTCTGCACCTCATAGCAGAGGAAACTGAAGCAAAGTAGAACAGCTCCTAAGTAAGGGGGTGTCAGGCCAGTGACATATGAGAGACCTATGGCAGATCTCCCAAGTGGAAAACTCTCAGAGCCCAAGCCCCTCAGGATGCCTAAAAGGAAAGTCTACAGAAGATGGTCTCACAATCTGATTTACTAACAACCCAAAATATAGTGCTCAGGAACAAACTGACAAACTGTTCTCAAAGAAGAAAGACATCTCCAATTAATTTTATGATGTGATCATAATAATGCTACCAAACCACTCATGGATAGTAGAAGGGTAATTACAGACCATCCTCACTAGAAACCATCTATGGAAAAAATGTTAAATAAGATATTAAAAAATTACATTTAGTAACATTAAAGAAAAAGAATATAACATGACCAAATTGGGTTTATTCAAAGTATACAAGGATAGGCTAGCATTAGAAAATCTATTAATCAACCCAATAGATGCTGAAAAAAAGGCGTTTGATAATATTCAACATCCATTCATAATTAAAAAAATATTCCTTGCAAACAGGGAATTTCAAAAGGAACTTTGTTAACTTGTTAAAGGATATTTAACAAAAATCTACTGCAAATAACATTCACAGGTGTGAAACCTTAGACACGATCCTATCAAAGACAGGATCAAGACAAGAAGGCACTGTATTAGGCTATGCTGCAGTAGCAAATTAAGTTCGAAAATTGGTGGCTTAACATAACAGAGGTTCATTTTTTCCTGTGCTTTATAGTAATAGAGGTTAGCAAGAGAAATTATACTTCACAAGACTGTCCAAGGATTGTTTTGATGAGGCACACTGAACAACTTATGGCTGTATATTTTGGAACATGAGGGCTCCTTGTCACTGCAATGAAAGAGATTTCCTATCAGTTCATCTACGCTTCACCCTGGAAGGAATCCACACAATTTTCCGTCATCATCCAGATAGAGCAGGCCCTACATACCTGCAAGAGGGCTTGAAAGGATGGAAAAGGGCTTGAATAGCAAATAAGCAATAAACGTCTCTGCCACATTCACTATCCCCACTCTTACTCAACATGTGTATGGAAGCTTCTAGTCAGTTAAGACAAAGAAATAATTTGAATGGCAGAAATAAAATTCATTATTTGCAGATGATACAGTTTCTTCTA